CAAATAATAATTGTTTTCATATTTTTGAGGCCACAATTATATTCACATTCAAATTATAGATTATCATGTGAAATATATCAATGCCTTTTATTTTGTACTTTTTAAATATTACTAAAAAATCTTTTTAGTTGTTTTAAACATTTTTCCAAGTGTTATCTAATCCATTTAAGCAATTAACAATCATTGAATCAAATAATTACGTAAAATTTGTAATTATTGAATCAAACATTTTTCTGTATTTTTTAAATAATTATTTATTTTTACTCTGCATGTTTTATTCTAAAAATTAAACAAATATTTTTTGAATGGCATCATGGACATCTATTATTTTTATTCTAAAATTAATAATTATTTTGCATGTTTTATTCTAAAAATTAAACAAATATTTTTTTAATGGCTTCATGGACATCTATTATTTTTATTCTAAAATTAATAATTATTTTGCATGTTTTATTCTAAAAACTAAATAATTATTTATTTTTATTCAAATAATTATTTTTCATGTTTTATACTAAAAATTAAATTAAAATTAATAATAAATAAATATGTAACAGAAAATTTGAATGAATTTATGGACATAATAGATGAAATACTTATTTTGCATATTTTATTCTAAAAACTAAATAATTATTTATTTTTATTGAAATAATTATTTTGCGTGTTTTATTCTAAAAATTAAACTAAAATTTAAAAAGTAAATATGTAACAGAAAAATTGAATGGGTTTATGAACATAATAGAGCATCCATATATTTATTGTAAATATTTATTATTAGAATTTTATCATAGCAAAAAATTAGAGAAATAAATAAATATTTATAATCTAAAAATAAAAATAAAAAACAAATTAAATTTTTCATATGATATTTCAATATATTGATGTCAATCTTAGCTCTACAACATACTCAACCTATAGGGTTAAATCATAAAAAAAAAAAAACAGAAGAAATTATCTATATATTATATATTATTCTAAAAATAAAAAATAAAAAAAAACAATTATTTAGAAGAAATTTAAATCGATCTATGGGCATGATAGATCATCCATAGATCTACAACATAATCAATATTTATAGGTAGATCACAAAAAAAAAACCTAAAATTTTCATTTCTTTCAGATTTTTAATATTCTAGAAAATTTTCAAATATTCACAAAGATCTACATATAGGAGCAAAATAAATGAGATTTTTTGCACAAGAATAACATATCAACATACACAAAGATGTTTCTAAGCATCTAAACTAAAAAAACACAAAAGGGTTCAACTATGATATGGAAAAGATATCATATCTTAAAAACTTCTGACCAGTCAATTGGAATCATAAACAAGGTATTCAATCAGGTGTTATTTATCAAAATTCATGGGTGGATTTTGATTGGTCAAAACCCTTCCCCTATCATATCTTTTTCACATCATAGATTTTCCCAACACAAAACATTGGCTGAGATTGTAAGAAAAATTGAAAAAACATACATATTTTTGCTCATTTTTTAACAATTTTGAAAAACTTGTTGGATCTTGGAAATTTGTGGATGCTTTGGTGGGTTTTGGCTAGATTTCAATCTCCAAGAATTGTATGAAGGTTTCTAGAGGGTTTTGGGAAGAAAGAGGGCTTCTAAAATGGGTTTAGAAGCCCTCTTTCGAATGAAGTTTTTGTTTTGTTTTCTGCAACAGTAAAATCGCACTGTATTGGCCAATACGTTACCGATACAACACCAAAATAGGCCGATACTCACCGAAACGTTACCAATACAGACACGATATGTTTTCGAAACGGCAAAAAGGAACGGTACTAAAGATTTGGTATCGTTCCCCATGCCGAAACCTCAAAGATACGATACGTATCAGCCGATACAGGCCGATACGTAATGAAATTTTGAACCTTGCCTGCAGGTCCTACACTAAAACAACTAAACAAGACTCCGATGGAACTGTGGCATGTAGACACCGGAGGGGTTAGTAGATCACGGATCACATGCCATGGCGGGATTGGTGGCAAGAAATGTTCTTTGAGACTCCGACTTCTCCCAATATTTTTAAAATTTATTTTCCATTATTTCAAAAATTCATTTAAATTGTGGGTTATTTCTTCTTCCTTCTCATGTGTGAGAAAATGTTTGGTCAAATGACCACTACCACCCTTGCTACAATAGCTAGTCTTTTTTACATTTTTTGCAAACTGTTCTTTTCCCCTTCCCCTCAACATCCTCTATTTTAAATATTCTCCAAATTGGGCTTCTAAACTTGGGGTTTTGGGAAGACCTGGCCGTTTTTTTTCAAATTCTAAAAAAAATAAAATTAATTTAATTGGACTTACCCCGGAATCCTAGATTGCCGGTTCAGAATCCCAACTTGATTTCAACGGTTAAAGCCTTTCAACGTGACAACGTCCAAGGCTCCAAGCCTCCCAAATTGTTAACTTGAAGAATCAGACAATCAACCAATCAGACTATGAGACTATCAAAGTTCACTCAAATTGCAAAAAATGTATGAGAGACTGAAAGAGACTGAGAATCTGAGAGACTGAGAGAAGAAAGACTGAAGAGATTAAGAGAATAACTTAATAGGAGAATTGTTGAATTGGTGTGATGAGAATGGTGGAGGATAGGGCTATTTATAGGAATTGAACATAATTCAATTGCCCAAAATACCCAAAAAACTAGTTGTTATTTAGTTGTTGAGAGGGGTATTTTGGCCATTGTAAAGTTATTTATAACTTTACCCAAAAAAAACCCCCTAAACTAGTTGTTATATAGCTGTTGGGGGGCATTTATGTCATTTTTAACTCCCCATAAGCAAAAATGCAAAATACACAAATACCCCCCTAATATGGATGTTTATACCTATTGGGGGTATTTCTGTAAACCCCCCCAAAGTTGAAACTAGCCGTTGGGCCCCTTGGGGGAGGGGGGGTGTGGGCCGTGTTGGGGGGGCCCAATGGCTATATTCCGGGTGGGCTGAGCGTGGCCCGCTACAGGCCCCACAGGTTGTGTTGTGCCACAGGCTAGGCCATGTCGGCCCATTGGCCTCAAACCCCTGGCCTAGCATAGCAAGTACCTCCGTGTCGGGCTTGGCACGACCCATGGGCCTTCATGCCAGGCCGGGCCGGGCCGGTCCAAAATCGTGTCGAGCCCGGCCCGATTTACACCTCTACTCCATGTATTAGAAATATCTCCCGTGCATAATACGAAGTATGAGGATTAGATGTTTTCATGTGTGAATAGATGTGAACAGATTTCTTGTGGGTAGAAGATACGGACTTGCCCTCTACGAACAATACGCCTTATATAACTATAACGTAAGCCGTGCTGTTTATCGAAAAATTTGCTTGTCTTTTTGATGGATCGATCCCACCTTGTCTGTATAGTGAAGAAAATCTGGATTTTGTAAACAAAAGTTGCTCACTAGAATTTCTCGTATCTTCGGCTTCTTTGGCCGTCTGATCTGAACCCCATTCGACGTACTACCATGGCTTTGATTCTTTGAATGAACCAGCCTGGCTCGTATGCTCCTCTACATGAGTCGAGAGCCGAGCCTGAATTTGAGCTTGTTTGGCTTAAATGATGAGCTTGCCAGCTGGCCCACGAAAATCGAGATGTGAGTATCCTATCAAAAGTCGGAAATACTAAGAGAACTGATCCGATGTTTCTAATACCTTTTACAACTAAAATCCGCAGCTAAAAACAGCTTCTTGATCACCATCCATTCCTTAGATGATCATTTTAGTGTGCTTACTCATGATTGATGGTCATCATTCTTCATCAGACGGCTGATCTAAGGAAATCAGTATTGCGATCGTAGTTCTTAATACATTTCATATGACCCCCACCAACGAACCTCTCTACAAAGCTCCTGTTAAAGGAACCCGACATAGCTGAGCTCAACCAACTACAGAACCTAGACTTTCGGCTGAAAAAATTACCAGTCCATAGCTGACACGTGTCCACGTAGAACGATCTTATCCCTGCTGGATGTTCGGTAGTAAGCAGCCGGCTAACTAACTATGGTGACTTGAAGCCACGCCCATGTGACGCAGGTGGGCGTAATCGAGTTCTTTGATTCCAGCAAAAACCAGAGTTTTCTACACTGTACGCGTAGAATCTCGGCGATATAAAAGGGAAAGCAAGAAGCTTTCTGACGGTCTAAAGGAGGCAAATTTTGTAATTGAAGTAGTTATCTTTCACCACGAGCGACTTTCGGGGTTGGTGGATCTGGTGGACTGGACTTTGTTGGAAACGTAGTAATCGATTTCAACGATTTCTTTCTCAAATCAGTTTTGGGTTTATCAGGTAATCATGGCTCATGGGTGAAAGAATTGTTTGAGTCTATTTGGGTTAATGGTGATTCTAGAAGATTCTGCGTTTGAGTCTATGCTTCCTTTTCCTTTTCCTTTTCTTCTGTCTCTGTTCTGTCGTGGAATTGAATGCTGGTTTCTAGTTTGTTGTTTTGAGATTGATGTATTACATTATGAATGGATTCTAGGAGAATCCCGTGTTGTTTCCTTATTTGGTTTATAACGCTTTCAATCTGCAACTTTTTCTGTTGATGCAGAGCAGGGAAGATTGGAACTTAAGAAGATAATCGAATCTTGGTGGGTGTTGGAGAGTTTGGAGGGTTGGTAGAGTGGAACTTGAGAAGAATAACAGAGCAGAACAATGGCATTGGGTGCTAATTCCCGTTCTGAGGTAAAGCGCAGGGGCCTGAACACTTCAAATGTAGATGTGCAATAAACCAAAGCTTGGGGTTTGTTCACTGTATAGGGGCAATAGGAAGGAAAAGGGTTCTGGTTTCCAACTGTATGAAGGCATCGCCTCTCAGTCCCCTATTCAGAACCGCATTGGAGAAGCATCAAGCTACAGAAAGTAATTCAGGAAAGTCTCTTCTTGAAGCATTGCCGCAGGACCTTCTGGTACGTACTCTGTATCCAATTCCAAGTTAATAGGTTTAAGTTTCTGGTTTCTACTTCACTTCGGAGTTCGTGGGCTGACATAGTTTTAATGGGTTGCTTTTGTTTGAAGATTCGGGTGCTCTGCAGTGTAGATCATGATGATTTGAAGGAGCTATTCCATGTATCAAAGACAATCAGAGAAGCTGTAAGTTCATGACTTCAAATTTAAGTTTTTGTTGTATTTTGTCTGGTGAGAAGAACTGGGTATTAATTTCTGTTTCTTTCCTTTACAGACTCTGATTGCAAAGCAATGGCACTTTGCCTTTCGAACTCCTGTGAAGCCAATGGGTTTAAGGAGTTTCGGTGATTTGGAAGATGAGAGCAAGTTTGATGCTCAGGAGGCACCAAACGCTCCAAGGCAGAAAAGAGCTCTAGGGTCCCGGCTCAACCGAAAGAAGCTTGCTGATATCTCTGTTGCCTTGTTTCGTTCTCCTCCCTAGGAGGAAGATCGCTGGCCGAAGAAGAGTTTAGTCTTGGAAACAGATATACGAGGAATTTTTCTGTAGATCTTATTGTAAACATTACTGTAAATGTTCCCAGAAGACCAGAACCAGTGTGAGTGGTTCTTCAAATACTTCATTGAAGATGGATGGCTTCTCCGCCTGTTTATGTGTGTAAATGTTTCAGTGTATACTAATTTATTCTATCAGAAGGACATTTCTTTCCTTTATTTCCTGATAAATGACGATCGAACTGAGTATATGCACGCCTCCGTCCGAATGAAGAGTAGTTAGCAAGCTAATTAAGCATGAGAAAAAGTATGAATTAGAACTAGATTTCCATGGCCGACCATTGGCCTTCCCTCTAAAACCATATTTCATAGTATACCTTTGGTTGAATCTAGGATTCACAGGAATTTTAGGGCATTTGTTTTGACCTTACAGGGTGCCTGGACCCAATTATACCTGATCGTGCATTAGGGTTTTGTTATTCAAGAATGAAACAATCAAGACTTTATAAATAAATTGAAAGAATTAAAAGAATGGTCTAATCAATTTGCTAAAAACAAAAATAAACAATAACAAGAATGGCCAAAACAAAATCAATTTATTATTTAGAATAAATTATTATTATCATTATTATTATATAAATAATACTATTATTATATAACAATTTATTATCAAAACCTATGCATTTATAGGAGATAAAAAGTGAAGTTTGATCTCTACCTGATGTTTGGAAGAGTTTGAAACATTGAAACTTTGAAACGGCTAAAACTTAGATGTTTACCTAAGGCCAAGTTGCAAAAAAAAAAACACTTCTCTACGTGATGTTTCCAACAAGGACATAGCTATAAACGGCTAAAATTTAGGACTTGGATGCCCTATTTGCAACTTTTTCTTTCTTTTATTTCTAATTTTTAATTTATAAATTTATAGTTATGCCCTTACCTCTTAATTAGACCTGCTCATAAAAATTTTACACTGCTCCAGGCTGGGCCAATTCAAATTTTACATGTTTATTCTTGATCTATTATCATGCAACTAGTTAATGACAATCCGGTGTTGAGTATAAGGAAATTTTATTGTTTAATTTATCTTTTTTGTTTTATTTTTGCTAGGTGGTTTTTTTTTAATTTGATCACCAATATTAGTGTCTCACCAATGTATTAAACGCCTTTTTGTTGAATTTTTTATTTAATAAGCTTAATTGGATTTGATTTGTTATTAAAATATACAAGATTCAACTTCTTAACTTGAATTTATTTGTCCCTTTCTTCTAAGGGGAGGCTAGTTAATGAGAGAGATGATCAAGGGCCAGTCTAGCTCAGGTTTATAATGGTAAATTGGTAATGAGAGCATTTTGAACTGCCAAGGCCTAGCCCAGCCTCACCCGCAATTAGGGATGCGAAGGGATCGGATTGTATTTGAATCAGAGTATATCTGAATCCAATCTTGCACATATTGATTCAGATTCAAATCCAACAAGGATGTTGGATAATCGAATATGATTCATTCCGATTTAATTTTGAACTGCCAAGGCCTAGCCTAGTCTTACACATATTGATTCAGATTCAAATCCAACAAGGATGTTGGATAATCGAATATGATTCATTCCGGTTTAATTTTTTTAAAAATAATAAATTATTAAAAGAAAAAGAAAATATAAATATTTAAATAAAGAAAATTAAAAAATAAAAGTATTTTTTCAACTATTTTTATCATATATATACATGTTCTTTATAAAAAATAAAAATTTACAAAATAAAATATAAATAACATATTTATAAATAAATAACACACACACACACACACATATATATATATATATATAATAAAAATAAAAGAGTAAATTGCTCCATTTTCTAGACTTTTCATTAGAAAATTTTACCCCTTATTTAAGTGACATACAACGGGCATAAGAAGGGCGTATATGTCCTTTACTCTCACTCCAAAAACTGCCCACTTATAACTGTTCAAAACCGTCCATGAATTGTAAATAGTTTTGTCTTAAAGACACGGTCACGTACAAATGCACGTACATGTTTATTAGTATATATATTGGATCATTTCGAATCAGATATAGACTGATTCAAATCCGAAATGAGCATATCCAAATCCAATAAAATAGGATTGGACTTCAGATTGGATTGGATCATGTGTCAATCCATTTTGCATCCCTACCCGCAAACCCAAGCTTGATAATATTGTTTGGGCATCGAGCTTGCTCTCATAAATTAGTAATAAAACTATTTTATATAAATATTATATATATCATATGATGTAAAAATTATAATTATAATTATAATTACCAAGGTCATGCCTAGGTCATAAGGGTGCTTTTCGAGGATTGCCCTAATCACTAAGATGTTTTTTACATGGGTTTGATCATGATATCGGAAAGTCGTGATATCTAAAAATTTGTGACTAATCAACCATTATCATAAATATATTAACCAATTAGATGATATTTATAAAATTCATGGAGAGTCTTGATTTATCAAACCTCTTTAGCTGGCATTGATTTCCCTTTTTACATAGTATTCTTGTATACTTAACTCTTCACATTTATAATAATGAAATAGATATCATTAAACTAAATGGTTGCTTTTGTTTTTGAAAGCAAGAACAAAATCAACCATGCCGTTGAACATCCCTTAGGCTACGTTTGGAAAGGATGCAAATAAGTGTGAATGCAAATATGTAGAATGTAAAATGGTTCAAATAAATTGCAAAGTAGTGTTAGTTTTGCACTCACAAATTTATCTTCTTACCAAATAGACTTTTAGCTGTAGTAGATGCAAATATAAATTCCAATAAAGCATATGCTTTTTTTTTATCAAAATTCTACTTAAATGCAAATTTACTTCTGTTTTATTGATGTACTTTTACATCTTATTATCAATGTAAATATGCATTTATCTGTCATTTATCAATGTATAAATGTAATATTGCCAAACACAACCAAAAGTAAACCAGAGTACAAATTTACCCTGAAGTCTTAACCAAGATTTACATTCTATTTGCATCGTTCCAAACGCAACCTTAATTTAACCAACACCCCCTTTTTTATTTTGTTAGGATTCAATCGTCATCCATAGTTAATGACCACCTGGTATTGACTACGGTTTATACGTACGGCTTTTAATGTAAGTCAAAATTTATTTATCTCTATAGCCACGTGAGTGTTCCACTGAGACTGGTTGGGACCTTGTATGCATTATTTGTTCGCTTTGTTCATGAATCATTTTACTTGTATAAAAAAGTAGGCATGTGTGGAGAAGCCTTCTTATGTGACAGGAAAGCTTTGCTTTAATAAGAAATATAACTCTCTTTCTCTCTTATTTTCTATCATACCAAACACACTAATATAATATGTTACATTATATGAGATTTGACCTCTCCAACAATTCAATTGTATTTTAGACCTCTAGATTATATCTATATTATATATAAAGGTGTGGATGTAATGTAAAATTTTTTTTGGACTAAAATTATCATTTATTTCTTTGTTAGAGAAAGGATATAAAAGTTATTTTATTATAGTTTTAATGTCAGCTTTAGTGTTATTAAAATGGCCATATTTGTGTATTGAATCCATCTCTAATTGTAATGTTGAAAATATAACTTCAATTATTACTTTTCACCTCATTTAATTCCCTCTCATTAAGTTTTATACTTAAGGTATTAAATCTCATTTTCTCTTATTAAATTCTATATTTTTAAGTTAATTTTCACTAATAAATGCTACTAATTAGATCTATGTCAATATTTTTAACAATAGAAACTCATATATTTTAAAACTGACTCGAAAACAAAACCATTCTTTATCTAAGTGGTGGCTAAGTAATTCTACTATCTAAATCAAATTGATTAACCTATGAAGTCATAGTTAAGTAATAAAAATTTTAAAATAGAAATAAATATGAAAAATTACAAAAATGTAGAAAAAATTTAGACACATTTGTGATATTTTTATTAACCAAATTAAAAAAATAAGTGTGATAAACAAGAATTATTTTTATTGATAAAAATGAAATATAAAAATTAATAATAAATAGTTCAACTTTTGGGTTAAATGTCTTAACCTTTAATGTCATAAATAAATAATAAAAATTAATAAAATATAAAAATACAAAAATGAAAAAATACATAAATTTTGCATATCATATATTTGTCATATTAAACAAAAAGTAAGTGTGACATATCAAAATTATTTTTACACACAAAAATACAAAAAATTGAACACATCTATAATTCTATATTTACACTACTATAAAAAATATGAATAAAATTGAAGAACTTTCTTTTGACTAAAATTAAGGTTTTAAAAATCAATCTGGAAATAAAACCGCTTTGGCTTTTGGTTTTCGATCAGCGATTCAACCATCTAGTTTGAACGAATTAAACCTGTAAGATGTAAAATTTATTTATAACTTTTTATTTTGACTGTTAGATTATGATTTTGGTTAAAGTCCACCATATATATGCATTATTATGAGAAAGGAATGTGAGACTTTGAGGAGGTGGATGGTTGAAGTTGAAAAGAAGAAGGAGGAGGAACCGTTGACAACAACTATCTCCATGTTTATCATCACTACTGCTATAACACCGCTTACCCTCTTCTTTCATCTTTTCCATCTCTCTAAATCTCTCTAAGATTCTAAATTGTTTGTTCAATTAGTGTATCGAAGATTTTTAATATAAGGTCAGGATTTAATCTCTCATCTCTTACACCGATTTTCCAATTTCTTCATTAGAGTTGTAATTTTTTTGTTATTTCAATTTAAAAAAAATATATATATAGAAATAAGAAAACTCAAAATTAAAATAGAAAAACTAAAAATCCAAACTAATTTTGGCCATTGAGAATAATCAAATAAGATTATAAGATATGAAAGTTTCTTTTTTCAATTTTTTATTTTTTAATTTCTATTTTAAAATAAAAAAATGAAATTAATTTGAAAACAACCCGAGAACCATTAACCGGGTCAAACATTGACACTACGTAACCTATACTTTTTTTTTAAAACCCAATATTACCCTTTGTCCAACTTTTGTAAGCCGAGTAAGAATCACTGCCTTTGAACGGGACTGTTACGCCCAGCTGCAACAATGTCCAATCCATCTCTCGTCTCTCATCTTCTTCCTCCCTTTCTCTCTCCATCCACTCCGTCGATGAGGATCACAATGCAGTAGCTCTGATCTCCCCCTTGCAAAAGACAACCACCATCACCTTCATCCACCCTTCGATTCAACACTCAGTCAACCCCTCCAACGAACCAAGCTAGAGGATCGACAACGCTCTGATATGCAGCTCACCATGACTGAGATCGGAGTGTTGTCTCTTCTCTCTGTTTCTCTCTTTTTTTTTCATCAAATTTTATTCAAAATCTGCATCGACTTTCCGATGTCATCGGTGATCTAAACATGTGGAGTGAAGATCTGCGTTCGAACCTCTGCATCTGGAGTGGCACGAGTGGTAGCAGAAACAGTAAGTGTGAGCATCAAGCTGCACCGATCTCCGGTTGCAATAGCAGTTGGTGAACGCCGAGACCGTGGTGATTGCCAGAACATTCAAGGCACATAAAGATGCGCGTCGCTCCAAACCTCATAATCCTCATGGTCATGGGTTTCGTTGTTGTAGAAACCTCTAGATTCTTCTCTTTATTAATGTCCAAGACTTTCTGAATCAATCTAATCGGGTTGGTCCATCATTCCATCTTCTAATCAATTTGGATCATCTAGATTCACCTTCTCACTTTATTAATTATCTTTGCTAGAGATTCAAATATCTAGATCAATCTTCTGATCTTCTGATTTTTATAAATATACAGAAGGCAAGAGTGTCGGGCAGAGATCCTCTATTAGCTCCCCTTTCAAATTGGGTATCATTACCTCGAACTGTTAATTCCATGAAGGGGAGGATGGCTTGTATAGAAAAACCCTTTGGAGATGTTGCCCCATAGCTCAAATCAAGATTGTGGAGCTGTTCCATGAGTTGGGAACGCCGTTCCACCAAAGCAGAAGACGATGCAGATGGTTGCCTCGATATTCCATCCCCTGTGACATGCAACCCAACTGATAGGCCTTGACCCACAACGCATCATGTTTAAAAAGCATAAATTGAACGAATAAGACTATACAGCTACAAGGTGTTTAATGGTGTTAACAAAAGTGAAATAGCACTTACCTCTGCTAGTCTTGATGTTGAGGGTATGGTGTCGGAGTCAACTGCACAGAGCTCATCCACATTAATGCTTGTAGATGCCTCTATATTTTTTAATCACTCGGCATGATGAGTCTACACACTGCTTATCAAGACTAGCTGTGCTAACCTACATTATTAACAACACGTGGGTTGTGTTCTTAAACGAGCGTCCTCGAAAAGCCGGTCGCCAATTGCGAGTTCTGGGAGAGTAGTTTCCTCAATTCATTCCGATTCTGTTTTCTTGGAGGACATTTTATCATTTTTATTACGATTTCACTATACACAATTATTAGAAACAGTAAGGGTGATTTAAGACAATATGTAAACAATGCATGTACAATTGGTCAAATTCTTTTAAATTTAGTATTTATTTAATTATAAGGTTAAATTGTAAATTAAATTATTACTTTTTTATGTATTTGGCAGGCCTTTGGCACATCGACACGTGGCCGGGTTCAGAGTGAATCAGTGTGTTAGACAGGGAAGGGGTCAGTGCCGAGCGTGAGACCAATGGCGTGACTACACGCAGCGAGTTCGGATGGCCGCCCGTTCAGGAATGGATCACATCCTAATCGTCCGCAGCGTCTACCATCAGGCGACCTCAAGTATAAATAGGGCATCACTCCCCCAAGGTAAAAGATCTTTTTCTTTGGAACGACTTTTTAGGATCCAGACCCAGAACTTGCACTCTAGCTCCCCAGTTTCCAGGCAACCTCGTCCGCCCTACTAACTTGACCGTCAGAGTCCCCACCTTGGGTCTTCACCCAAGGCCTCTGACGTTCCTTCCTTCGCAGGTTCTCGGCACTCCACAGATCCCACTGGTCCTCGGCCTCGGCCTTAGCCCTACTCGGACATCATTGATCTTCATCCTTGGCTCTACCTCAGCTGACCACAACTCAGATCCTCTTAGTAAGCTCGTCCAGGAAGCAAAGCAAATTTACCTTGTTGTTCTCGACCAATCCGAGCACCAACAATTAGCGCCGTCTGTGGGAACTGACTACTAAACCCTCCCCCAACGACTCAGTTTCCAACGAAATGGCTAGGTGCAGGAAAGTTACACAAAACTTGGTACCAGGGACCAATTCTAGACAATCCTTGATCGGCTCGACGACCTCACGCAGAGGCTGGACAAGGTGCGGAAACCAGCAGGAGGCCGCCCATAGGGTGGCTGCCACGCTGAATCGACCAGCTAAGCACCTTGTCGCGCCCCCCAAGGTGGACCCCTCAACATCCGACGGAAGCGGCTAGAGTGTGAGTCAGCCGTCGAGGACCCTCCAACCGCCCCACACCTCAGACCTCCGAGACTAACTCAATGATCGACAGGCTAAAAGGAATCGAGATGCAACTGGTCCGTCTCGCTACCGCGAAGACCAAGACAAAGCCAAGGTGCTCATTGGCCAGTAGATCGCCAACATACGAGCACAAATTGGCGCAGTGAAGGACGAAATTTGGCGAGTCAAGGAGAGCCGAAGTGATGCCTCGGCCAATCAGCACCCTTCCACTAGGATGGATGCCTTCACCATTGCCATCACCTCGGAACCTCTTCCGCCTCAATTCAAAGCTCCCATGTTGGAGACTTATGATGGCACCTCGGACCCAGACAAACACTTGGAGAGCTTCCAAGCACTCATGCTCTTGTATGGGTACTCCAATGCATTGAAGTGCCGAGCTTTTCAAGTGACCTTCAGGAGGGCAGTTCGATGATGGTTTTTCGGTCTCCTACCCTGTTCCATCAGCTCTTGGGACCATTTCGCCCATCTCTTCCTCGCCCAATTCATCAACAGCCAGTGGCACCAGAAGAGCATCGTTTCACTCATGGTCGTCCGACAGCACATGGTGAGAGCCTACGGTCCTGCATTGACCAATTCAAGAAAGAAGAAATGGAGGTCCGCGACCACGACCCCATGGTCTTCGTGCATGTAGCGATCCAAGGTCTCCTCCCCGGGTTGGCCCTTAAGAACTTTGTTGCCAAAACGCCACCCAAAACCAATGCAGAATTTATGGAAAAGGCACAGAAGTATATTGCCACCGAAGAAGCCTCGACCGGCAAACGCCCAAGTGGAGAGGCCGACATTGACATTGATGCCGATATCGACCATGGCGATCACGAATGATGGGACAGCCACGACGACGACCATGACGACAGGAAGCAGCTTGGCGCTGTTAACACCGATCTCATCACCCTGTCTCAATGGTCGTTGCCGTAGTCAGTCATCGTCATCACCTCGGCCTCAGTTGCATCCGTAGGCTGAACCATGTGACCATAAGAGCTCGACTTCGGCCGACTATGTAAAAACCTTTTTTGTAATAAAGGAAGTCTCCTTTACCTCACCTTAAATCCTCAGTGCATATGTTCTAGTCTCGATCGAGTGCCCTTCTGCAGCATACAACCTTTGCCAAGGTCACATGCTCGGATTGGACTACGTTCCAAGGCACATGGCCCCTTGGGTGGCCGCCGATGGGAAGGCCCTTGATTTTGGCCTAGGCCTCGGTGAGACCCTCTGAGTAAGCGAGTTCTCTTCCAAGTTTGACAGTTGGCATTGCCCCCCCCCCCCACTTGAAGAGACATGCTGAAGGAAACAACTCCAACACCCTCGACGATCTTACCTCGGTGGATGCGTCCCAACGGCTTCACCTCGGTGGATGCACCCCGACAGTCTCACCTTAGTGGATGAATGCACCACAGCGGTTTCGCCTCGGTGAATGCACCACGGCGGTCTCACCTTGGCGGATGCGCCCCGACAGCTTCGCCTCGACAGACGCACCTCGACGGTCTCACCTTGGCGGATGTGCCCCGACGGCTTCACCTCGGCGGACACACCCCGACAGTCTCACCTCGGCGGATGCGCCCTGACGGCTTTGCCTCGACGGGCGCACCCCGATGGTCTCACCTCGGTGGATGCGCCCCGACGGATTCGCCTCCACGGACGCACACCGATGGTCTCACCTTGGCAGATGCGCCCTGACGTCTTCGCCTTGGCGGACACACCTTGTCAGTCTCACCTCGGCGGATGTGCCCTGACGACTTCGCCTCGGTGGACGCACCTCGACGGTCTCGCCTCGAAGGATGCACCCCGACGGCTTTGCCTCGACAGACGCACCCCAACGGTCTCACCTTGGCGAATGCGCCCCAACAGCTTTGCCTCGACGGATGCGCCCTGACGGCTTCGCGTTGGCGGATGCACCCCAACGGTCTCACCTCGGCAGGTGTGCCCCGACGGCTTCGCCTCGGCGGACGCACTCCGACAGTCACACTCCGACGGATGCACTCCGAAATCGGGACTAGCACCTCCTCGCCAGAAGACTGCTCTCTCCAAGTTGGCCACAACATAGGCCCTCACCACAGAAGGCTGCTCAGTACCTCCTAGCAAGAACACTCTCTTCGGTCGAAGCCGAGGTCCTAAGATAAGACCTTCGCCATGGCCTCGAGAGTGGGAGCAAGTGATGTAGGGCATTTGGCGGGCCTTTGACACGTCGACACGTGGCCAGGCTCAGAGTGAATCAATGCGTCAGACAGGGAAGGGGTCAGTGCCCAACGTGGGACCAATGGCGTGACCACACGCAGCAAGCTCGGATGGCCACCCGCTCAGGGACGGATCACATCCTAACCGTTCGTAGTGTCCGCCATCAGTCGACCTCAAGTATAAATAGGGCATCACTCCCCCAAGGTAAAGAATCTTTTTCTGTGGAACGACTTTTTAGGATCTAGACCCAGAACTTGCACTCTAGCTCCCTAGTTTCCCGGCGACCTCGTTCAAACCTTCGGACCTTGTTTGCCCTCCCTACTACGCCCTATGAACTTGACCGTCGGAGTCCCCGCCTCAGGTCTTCACCCGGGGCCTCTGACGTTCCTTCCTTTACAGGTTCTCGACACTCCACGGATCCCACTAGTCCTCGACCTCAACCTTCTTCAGACAACACCGGTCCTTGGCCTCTGCCCTACTTGGACATCATTGATCCTCGTCCTTGGCTCTACCTTGGCCGACCCCAGCTCAAATCCTCCTAGTCAATTCGTCAAATAAGCGGAGCAAATTTATCTTGTTGTCCTCGGCAATCCAAGCACCAACACTTTTCATTTCATTTCATCCTTTTAATTCAAATCTTATATTTTTTTGATAAATCAATAAGAGAAAAAATACATTAACAAGATAAAACATTAGAAAAACAAAAATCTAACAAAGTAGGTATAATCCTATCAATGATACTTAAACCTTTACAATTCGATTTAATTATGATATATTTAAATTAGATGTTTATGTAAATGTATTTGAATTTTACAATTTACATTTAATAAATAATAAAAAACAAAAAAATACATAAAACTTATAAAGAATTTTAAATATATTATTTCCATTTACAATTGCCATATATAAAACAGCACGTACGCATTTACCACTATATCTAAGCGACCAGCTTAGGTTGTCCGAGTCGGCAGGTCTGTGCGAGTCCCCCTCGCTCATGACTCAACACGTGAGTCCGAGAGAGATTTCTAAGTAACGTCGTATTGATTTTTTTTTTTTTTTTTTGATTCATGCGTCGTATTGAATTTTCACTACGACTTAACATAATAGTGCAAATTAGCGGGAACCCTTTTCCTTCTCTGGAAGTTTGCTGTCCCAAAAATTTATCCCCCCCCTCTCTCTGGCTTAAGGAGACTTACAGCGATAATCTTTGTAGTCTTTAATGGCTTCGGCAAAGCATGAGGCCCCGAAGGCGGAAGAACCGGGCGCAAAAAGGGCAAAGGTCGCCGTTACAGATTCTGGGGCATCAGAAGCGAAGCAGCGGGTGGTGCTCAACCCCGCCGATTGCAATTTAGGTTTTTCATCATGTTACTTCTTATACAATATTACTGCCTTTTTTTTTATAGTCGCGAAAGTTCACCATCTAGGGTTTTTTAATATTTTTCGATTCCCGTCTAAGAGTTCCAAGTCGAGAAATGCTTATGCAGGTTCTTCTTTTCTTGAGTTTTTAGGAAATTTCTATTTGTTTAAGTATTTTCCTGATGAATAAGACTCGGTTTTGGTTTTTAATTTGTATAATGGGGCTTAAATTTATATGTTAGAAGTAAATGATTTTAGTTACATGACATGGAGATTTATATTTTTTATCGATAACTAGAATTCATTTAAAAGGATAATAGAAAGTAATATAAAGAAAAATACGGCTATAATCATGTACGAATAAACCGCCTAGAAGAGACCAATAAACCTAGATAGAACGAAAATGAAGATCGCAAAATAACAGATTACCTAGGATATTGGTTCATAGGTACAATTCACTCATCAAGACCCTTCCCATAGATGAATTGTCTGGCAACGAGTTAGCCGAACTTGGTTCTTCAGTACAACTCGAAAATACCAAAAAAAAAAGATGGTGCAACTCAATAAATTTGCACTGTTCATTTATGTCTGCATATCTTACATAGTGGGAGAGATGGAAAGTAGAAGGATGCTGGAAGTGTTCCTCGTCAGTTCATTGGTCCATTCCACTTCAAAAATGAAAAACAAACTTTGATGTTCTCTATAGACTGTACTTTTGGATTCTTCACTTATGTTCTTATGGTGTGTAAACTGATGTTAATCGGCTAATTTTTTCTCCTCACTCAACTTGGTAAGTATATTCACCTCTGTTTTATATGTTGATTTCACCAGATTTTAATATTGAAGGAGACGGTCTTCAAGGTCATGCACTTTATGATCAAGGATTTGTTTATTGCTGGTCGGGTGCTCGGGCAAATTTTGGCATCACTGGAGGGAAATATTGCTTTGGTTGCAAAATTCTTTCATCTCAGCCAGTTGACATGGAAGATACTCCCCCTGATCAGCAGCATGTATGTCGTGTTGGAATTTCAAGAGGGGATGATGCTGTTGGAAATCTTGGGGAAACCAACCACAGCTTTGGCTTTGGGGGAACAGGGAGATTTTCAAATGCAGGGAAATTTTCAGATTATGGCACAAAATTTAGTGTTGGAGATACAATTATTTGTGCAGTTAACCTTGAAAACAAATCATTAGCTTCCATAGGTTTCTCCAAGAATGGGAAATGGCTGGGTATTGCAAAGCAATTTGATGCAGGTCCAAAGGGTCTTGGAGTTGTGGACTCTCCAACAAGAAATCTAAAATGGGAATCTGCATTGTTTCCACATGTTTTATTGAAGAATGTTATTGTTCATTTGCAATTTAGTGTTGAAGACGGTCTAGTTCCTGAAGAAGGCTATAATCCCTGGGCTTCTGCACTTGAGGATGGAAATGCGATAATGGGGCCTACATTTTCTAGCCCCAAGGATTGTGAAGTACTTATGATGGTTGGATTACCAGCATCTGGAAAGACTACTTGGGCCGAGAAATGGGTGAAGGAGCACCCTGGAAAACGCTATGTTTTGCTTGGGACTAACCTGGCCTTGGACCAAATGAAGGTTTGCAGTTCTGGAGGAATTTTATTTGTCTCATTTACTTCAATTATGTATAAGTTCATATCTTTGTTTTTCAAAACCTGTCACTTACTATTGTTCCTTGCCCTCTAGTCTGAGTGTGGCATATGATTATCACTTGGAACAGGTACCTGGACTATTGCGTAAGCAAAATTATGGTGAACGTTTTGACCGTCTAATGGATCGAGCAACAGGGATTTTTAATACTCTATTAGCTCGTGCTGCTAAGACACCACGCAATTACATTCTTGATCAAACAAATGTTTACATGAGTGCCCGCAAACGTAAACTAAAGCCATTTGTAAACTACCGGAAGGTAGCTTGACAATATCCCGAGTCCCGATCATATAGTTTTATGAGAATATGTAATTAGAATAATAAGGAAAAAAAGGGGAAGAAAAGATAACTAAAGATGTAGACAGGTTCTTACCTTTTCTTTTTCCATGTCCAAATTAGGTTGCAGTTGTTATCTTCCCAAAACCAGATGAGTTGAAGCTTCGTGCAGCAAAACGGTTTAAGGAAATGGGAAAAGAAGTACCTGCAGAAGCAGTTAATGAGATGCTAGGTATTTAATAAACATTTCCATTAACACAGCTTCTCACTACTTCTTAGAGTCCACCCAGTGAGAGTATTCTTGGTAATAAAGCATCTTATTATTTAACATAATTTGTGTTGTCAGCAAATTACGTCTTGCCCACGAGCAAAGACATGCCTGGATCAGCTGAGTTTTTTGACCAGGTAATTATGTAAGATTTTTCATGCCCATTATTTGCATTCCATTGATTGCAATGCTTAAATGATGTCTTCATCAACTCTGTAAGGTTATGTTTCCTGAGCTCGGCAGAGCAGAGTCGCAGAGATATTTGGATGAGATGAAGCGTGCACTAGGGTCTCCATCCAACTTCAAGCCGAATAGCAATCTATCACCTTATTCTCATGAAAGTTCCATCCATTCATACAATAGCCCTTCACTGCAAAATCATGCACCCTTACCAGGTTGTTTGAAGATGAGGATGTATCACTCACCTGGGTCAGTTGTTATTTTCCTTTGCCATATCCCTTTTATATCTTGTTTTAATGATGGTACCCTGTGTTGCAGCACCTTCTGGGCATTGGAAGAATTCTCATTCACCTCTTCCTCAACCAGATTATGATTACAGGAGGCCCCAGCAAGTAAGTGAAACTATGAAAGCTGTCATGCTTGTTTTGAGCTTCTGAGACTTTGAATTATGAGCAGAAGTTTTGTATTTCTCTCTATGCATCCTGTTTTATGTTTAGTGCCTAGGACATCTAGGTCCTATTATTGTGATAATTTTGTGGCTTGGTCTCTATTATCACTATCATCATTGAAGCCTTGTCACTATATGGGTATGGGGTTGGCTACATGAATCCTGTTTCACCATTCCGTTCTGTTTAATGCCATATCCATGCTAGAATTAAAATGAATTTGATGTATTCCAAATTGTTATTTATGTGGAGGTCATAAAACTGCGGGTCTTACTAAGTTTAGAATCCGTTTCTGCTTTCTATTCATACTTTGGGTTTTTTAAAATTTCAGTTGTCTATGGTTTATGATAAATCTTTTTTTTTCTTACTTTCTTGTTGAATAAACTATTCCTTCAAAGATAACTTTCTGAAAGAAAGTTGGTTTAACTGGATTTGGATGTCTGAACTTGGAAGCTGATTGGTTTTTGAATGCTATAGATGAATCCAACATATTCAGGGACTGCACTACATGGAAAACCAGAATATAGTCTTGGAGAGTACCAGTCGGGGTTAAGCAATCCTTCTATTCCAAGGGATAGTCCGCATGGGACCTACTCAAATTATGGTAGGAGTTTTCTTCCTAGGGATGACAGTAATGCACATGGGTATGGCAAAGATGACCTTTTCGGCAGACCAGACTACGGAGGCATTGATCCATACAACAGATCTGGCCTGGAAAGCAGGAGTGCCATTCCCGTAGGCAGTAATAGATACCAGAGCTATTATGAGGTTGATCCCTCTGGTAGATCCAACTTTGGAAGGGAGAGTCTCTACAGCCCTCCAATTGGGCGTTCCTCATTCAGCAATAGTGGTAGGCACCTTGGGGACCCTTTATCTCCTCAACCTGCTCTGCAAGCTCCAAGGGGATCCCAATTTCTGCACAGTCCATTGACAACCTCTTATGGTAAGTATTTGAACATATTTGTTTGTTGATCACAGTTTCTGATTTATATCAAACCAGTAATTGTTATTTGTTTATCCCATTTTCTCATAGAAAATTGCAAAAGCAGTTGCTACTTGGCTATATTAGTAAATTTATATGTGCTGTTATTGAAGCTTTTTCTTTGTACCCTCTAAAAGGTTGGTTCAGTTTATTTTATCTCATTGTGTAGTTCTTCAATTATGTCATTTCATGGATTCTATAAACCATTGTTTTGACATGGAAAACTGCAAAGGCTTGTTTTATTTGACAAAAGCATGGTTGTATCATATGGTTCAATCCTGAAGTGAACCTGGTGCTTGGCATAGATTGTTGCTCCATTTAAAGAATATTGTTAGCCTAGAATCAAAGCATGATTATGACGTGCATGTTGTTATTGTCAGATCCAACATGGTATGACATGCAGAAGTTGGTCTTCTTTTTTTGGTGTATGACTTGGCAGGTATACTTTAGAAGTGATGATTTTACGAACATGTTCTCATAAAGTCATGAGCATCCTACTGGCTTCAAAAATCCATATAGCAATATACGGCTGAACTTTTTCTATTTTCAAATCTTTGAGTGGCAAAAACCATTAGGCATAGTTGTCAAGGCGACACCTAGGCGACAAGGCGCCCTTTGAGGCTCACCTCGCCTAATCGCCAAACAGTTTTGTACTATGTATTATAAAATACTTTTTTATTCTTTGTTTTTTGACATTATAATTATAAAATAGGCACTATTAAACTAAAATATTCATTTTGTGTGTTTATATACTAATTTCTTTTTATTATTTTCTTATTTGTTAGGGTTTAATCAATATAAACATTGCTAAATAATGTATTGAACCCCCAAAGACTTTAAAACCTGAACCAATAAGGCAAGGAAGACCTTAAAATTTTGTCTAATCAACACATTTTCTTTTCTTCTTTTCCTATAATAAAAATAAGGGTTCAGCCCCTTATTTTTTGAATTTTCTTTTCCTTCTTCTTTTTCTTCTCATGAACTCTCAGCTAGGAAGTAAATGTCTGTTTTGAAATGTAGTTGAAAGATATTGTGGCATTGCTGTTTGAGCTATGGAATTTGATGGACTCACATCAAGAAGAGAGGAATCTGTTTAGAAAAGTTACTTTCATCCTTGAATCACCAGAACCAGAGATAACGGAATCGGGTTTGCTCTCACTAGAGATTATTGATAAGGCAGCATCAGAGGTTGAGAGATTGACTAAGCTGAAAGCCAGCAGAATGAAAGAACTAGTCATGGAATTAGAAAGAACTATCTGATGCAATTTGAGGATTCTAATTTCTAAGAGAGAAGAGTATGGAGAACTTCGTGGAGGCTAATCGATGGAGAAGGCATCTCAAGGTGGAGGCAAAGAGTTTTCTGCTGGAAGAACTAAGAATCAGAGGACAGATTAGCTTGAAAATCAGGGAGGATAAGCTGGCTACGGTGCTGTTGGTAGGATTGAACGTGGTAGAATGGTTCATAGAGTTTGTAGTTGCAGCGAGTGCAAAAGGAAAGGACAGATGTTGGAAAGAACTTCTAACAGAGATGGGAAGGAGGTATGTGGTGGAAAGCAGGAAGAACTACAAAGGTTTCTTCATAGCACTATCAGAGAAGTATGATAATGCTAGAAAGCAGATGGTATGCTTTCCAGAAGGGAGGAAGAGCCAAGGATGGATAGAAATAGTCAAGGCTCTGAGAGAATTTATCTCTAGAATGAAGTTGAGACAGGAAAAAGGTTCAGAAAAGAAGGAAAGAGAGGCTCCCCTGAAGACAGTAGTGAACTTTGAGCCTCCCAACAAACGGCCCCTACCTTAGTGCAAGATGGTAATAGAGCAGCATTATTAACATCAGTGGCAGCAGGAGAGTGGTCCAATAAACTTATTGTTGAAGTCGGTAAACCAGGTAGAAACTGGGAGGAGGTTGCTGATTTGGTGACAAAACAATTAAGGATGACGACCACATATGTATTAACTCCTTTCGAGAGGTGCAAAGTTCTGTTAGATTCCCTGGATAATAAGCCAGAAGTTGAGGCAGTATGCGTACAAGATAAACTGGGGTCGGTGAACATTTTCAGGTGGTCTCTTTCATCAAACTCGAAGGAATCCTCGGTGATGGATGGAGTAAAAGTGTGCGTGGTGGGTCTACCTTTCCATCTGTGGAAGGATGAAGTAGCAGAAGCCATCGCAACATTGTGTGGAGCAAAACTGGCCGGTGTCTTTTGGGGAGATCTAAGGTCTGCATCAATTTTACTGAATGGTGTCAAGCCTGAGGAGATTCCCAGGAAAGTGAACCTGAGAGTTGAAGGAGCTTTCATGGCGGTCTGGCTGACTTCCTCCATTGAAGCTGAAATGTGGAAGGAAGCTCGAAGGGAGGAAGATGGTCAAGTTGAAGAAGAAACCTTACGTGGCAGTAAGGGGTTGGTCAAGCTACAAGGAAATTGAAAATTCGAAAACTTGGCTGAAGATGGAAAGTCTAAAACTTGACCAACAAGGCAGTAAGTAGATGGAGACCTGACAGGTCATATGCGTTAGCAGTAACAGATGGCGTGCAAGCTACCTCATTAAATGCACCTGTGTGGCTGAGAAAAGGTGAGAAGGAGGTAGGGAGTGGGGGAGCTAAAATGCTGGATCCATTTAAAATAAATAAAGCCCATTCAATTTCCAATCCGGGCCAGAAAATTGTAAATGGGCCTTCTTCAAGAGATGGGCCCCAGGTTCTAAAAGCTGGGCCACTTAATAATAGAAGGGATAAAATGTTTAGTGGGCCAACCTCTGTGGGCCTATCTAAAGTGGGAGTGGGGCAGGGGGAACACTTTGTTAAAACACTAATTGGGCCGGATAATATCAGTCCATCGAAAGGGACCATAGGGATTTTAAAAGGTCACGTGACTAGGGGGTTAGAGTTGATAGATGGTAAACACCATCTATCTTCTCCTTTGTTGAGCTCAACCGACAGAAAACCACGACCAACGAAGAGCGCACCTTCTAGGAACTCCCTACAGTGGGTTGCGTTAGGAAAAATGAACAGACCGTCACCTGAAAAACGCAACCCAAGGAGCGTCAGACGAAGCGATTGTGAAGAGCAAAAGCAACATGAATGCTCTGAGGAGGAAGAGTTCAGCGATACTAATTCAGACTATACAGTGAGCCTAGGGAGTATTGATCTGAACATCTCGAGGAACATTTTTGATGAAGATAGCTTGGGTACAGAGGTACTTTTTCAAGAGAACAAGGAGGAAGATGATTTTCAAAGAGTTGAAGAAGACGATGTGAATGTATCGGATCATTCGACAAAAGATGAGGTTCAGGTGCTGCCTGCACTCGTAAAGGAAGTCAATCCAGTAGCTCAGGAAAATCAGGATATGAGGTCTGTAAGGAAAAATCCTAACACTTTGATTTGTAACGTAAGACCAGAAGAAGGGAGACACGGGAAGAATAGTTCAACTGTTAAAGATGATAGGGTATTGACTCCTACTATAAACTCTCTACGGCAAAATCAACCTCAAGGAACAGACTTAGGCCCTTTCTCCTTATGCGCACCCCCTCCCTTGAATGATGGCCATTGATCCCCAACAACACTGGTACGATTGTCCATTTGGTTTTGGTTACTAATGTGCCTTCTGTGCTTGTAACAGATACTCCAGCATCCCAAGTGGAAGTTCCAGTCACGGGGAAGAGAAGAGAGATTGGCAGTCCTGAGAATGAACTGAGAAAGGAAGGAGTGGCCCCTAGAGAGAGACAGGAGGAGAAATTAGAGAGAATATGGGAGATGATATGTGAGTTGTTGGAGGAGTACAAAGTAAAGGAGGAGGAGTTAGATCAAAGGGAGAGAGCAGAAATTTCTCAAAAGAAGGACTACCACAGAAGTCCTAAGTTGGGGGGAGGGGAGGCAAAAACTAATGCATCATCTAGGAAGGCTGAGGGTAATAATAAAAGGAAAAAGAAAAAGAGATCAGAAGTGGAGAGGTTGATTTCAGATATTGAGGGTGACATTGAATTTAGTGGGAGAGGGGAAAGAAGAAAGATTCCGCTGTAAGGTGGAATTTTTTGGGAAGGGTTTTTTTGAAAAGAAGTGTTCAATGAAAATCATCAGTTGGAATGTGAGAGGATTGGGAAGCAAAAGAAAAAAAGGCCATCAAAGACTTACTAAGAAGAGAGAAATCGGACATAGTGTTGATATAGGAGATCAAGTTGGCAGAAATGGATGAAAGGTGGGTGAGAAGTGTATGGAGATCAAGAGGAGTTTGTTGGACATTGGCCCCTTCCTGGGGAGCCTCTAAAGGTCTAGTAACATTATGGAGGGAAGATGTGGTAGAATTAGTAGAGGAGCTAATAGGGAGATTCTCTGTGTCTGTCAAGGTCAGGAATGTGGGGGATGGATTTACTTGGGTTTTATCCAATG